CTGCGGAAGTGAGCACTAAATGGGAGTTGGTGTGTATCCTTTCTATTCATGTGTTTAATTTTTAACTTTTATATGTATTTAAACAATGTACAGAGCAATAAAAAAGATTCAACCACTTTCAAAACTTTATTACTCAGTAACAAATTTATATATAAACATGTAATATGCATCAGTTTGTGGAGTTACCCTTACGTGACTGCAGTGTGAAGGTCATCTGGTGTACCAGACAATGAACCCCTACTAGCTTGTCAGAGCATTTACCATTGGTACAATGAGATGGAACAGAAAAGGTACATCTTAAAAGACAGAGCACAGGGCAGCCACATTTGCAGTGGAAAATTTGTGTTCCTCTTTAGAGAAGACCTAGGAAGTCGAAATTAAGGCAGGCATCCCTCAACCTACCATCTGGTGCGTTCTCAATAATTGGAGGATAAAACTTTACAGCTTTAACCTGTTTCAAGCCCTCACAGAGACGGTTAAGCAAAATGATAACAAGTTTTTCTACAGATTTCAGGGTCACAGGGAAGTGGAGATAACTGCCAGTGATGAGGCTGTTATTTAAGTGGAAAAATGAATCATAATCTCCACATATGGGGCACTGAAAACCAACATTTCATCATTGAACTTGAAAGGGATTCACTAAAAGTAAATTTTGTGCCATATGAAGCACCTGGGTCTCTATCAGTTCCTTTTTGTAAAAGATACCACTAAAGTTATCTCTTTTTTGGACATGCTCCTGGAATGGTTTTTCCTACAGCTGCGAAAAGTCTCTAACAACCCCATTGTCCATCAGGATGAGGCTCGGCCTCACTTCCATTATGCAGTCCAGAGGTTCCTAACGTACGCATTTCCTGGTATGGATTGGACACTGTTCAAAAGATTGACCTGCCCCTGGGACAGTGGCCTCTAGATCTCCAAGACACCCCACCATGTGACTTCTTGTGAGGATGTGTCAAGAACCTCCGTGTTTGTACCACTTCTTACAGCCTTGGGGGAATACCATTTCAGCTGTGAGCAGTGATGTATCACAAAGGGTCTGAATGAAATGGGCTACAGGAATGATGTGTGCCTTGTGACGAGAAAGGTGTATAACGAGCATTTGTAAGATTACAGAAATATCTGATAGTTCCTTTACAGATTGTTTTTTGGCTGCAGCCTAGTTACCAAGTAATACATTTTTGAAAGCATTCAGTTCTATTTATTTGAAATAAAGTTTATTGAGGGTATTCTACGTGCAATAAAATGTACAGATTTTAAGTCTGGTGACACATGTAACCACCACAATAAAGATATGAAGCACTTTCATTACCCCAAGAGTTTTCCTCATGCCGTTTTCCAGTCAGTACTCCTTTCCCCAGTAACCACTGCTTTCTGTCACTGTAGGCCATAGGCAAATAACCATTTGCCTATTCTCGAACTTCATATAAGTGCAATCATTTGGCCTTTCCTCTTATGTGCAGCTTCTTTCACTCACCACATTTTTTAGATTCATCCATGTTGTGGTGTGTAGAGTAGTTGGTTCATTTTTATTCCATTTGTTTAATTCTTTTTAAATCACCCAATGTAGTAGTGTTTTATGTTTCTTAAATTTTATATAAATGCTGTAATACTGTACTTTCACAGATTTTTGAGATATGTAACTCATTAATGCCATATATAATATTACATTGTAAGAATATGCCACTATGTTTTTATCTACTTCCTTATTTAAGGACATTTAGATTGTTTTCTCATTTTTCCTCTTTTTAAACAGTGCTGCTACAAACATCATTGGCACTTGAGCAAGTTTCCGTAAGATAGATATCTAAAAGCAGAATTGCTGATTTGTAGAATACGTGTGTCTTAACTTTACTAGATATTGCCATACTGCTCTCCAAAGTTGTGGTGACAGTTTACCTTGTTGCCGATAGGGTTTAAGAGCTCTTTTATCTCCAAATCCTTACCAACACTTGGTATTGCCTAACTTTTAAATTTTTGCCAATCTGATGGTTGTGAAATAGTATTTCATCATTAATTTGTTTTGCATTTCCTTGACTACTTTTCTTCTTCGATTCATTAGACTTCTAGGTTTCTTCTTCGTTTAACTACTTGCTCATCTCTTTGCCCTCTTTTTTTTCATAGTGTTGTTTGTTTCTTACTGATTTTGGGCAGTCTTTGTATATTCTGGATATCAATCTCTTGCTGATATTTTTCTAGTCAGTGAATTTATCTTTTAACTTTGATTTTGATGATTTGTATAGAAATTAACATTTTTTAATGTGATCACATTTGTCCAATTTTCCCTTATGGTTTGTGTATTTTATATCTTGCTTAAGAAACCCTTGACATTATAAAGGTATTTGATATTTTCTTCTGAAAATTTCAAAGTTTTCCTCTGTACATTTAGGTCTTTAATCCGGAATTGATTTTTGTGTCAGGTGGGAGGTAGAAATCGAATTTTTTTCCCATTTGAATAGTCAGTTGTCCCCAAACTATTTATTCATTAATTCATTCTTTCCCTTTTGTCACTTAGCCAATTTCCTTTATATATGTGTGCATATATTTCTTGGCTTTCTATTCTATGTATTCTGTTTGTCTATTCTTATACCAATACCCTATAGTTTTTTTGTTTTATTTTTATTACTTTAAGTTTATATAAGTCTTGATATATCTGGTAAAGATAACTTCCCTCCTTCTTCAGAATTATCTTGACTCTTCTTAGTCCTTTATTGCTCTTTGTGAATTTTAGGATCAGCTTGTCTATTTCATAAGAAACATACAACAATCAAAAAGTTGTCTTGAGATATTGTTTCAAATTGCAATGAATTTAGAGATTAATTTGGAAAGAACTGGCATCAATGGTTTTGAGTCTTACTGTCTATGCACATGATGTACTTCTCTACTTAGATGTTTTTTTATGGTCTTCAATAAAGTTTTATACTTAGCTCTCTAAAGCTGTTTTTTTTTTAAGCAGCTTTATTGAGATAGAATTTACATACCATAAAATTCACCCCACTCTTAGGTCTTGCATATCTGTTGTTGAATTTATTACTGAGTACCTTTTAGTTTTTATTACAAGGTACCTGGTAGTTATTGTGAATAGCATCTTTGCTTTCTAAAATTTTTGTCACTGGTGCATAGGAAACTTTTTACCCATTGTTTTCTTGGTTTGGGCTGGCAGAAAAATATCTTTTAAAGAAATCTGAAAAGGACTGGGACTTTTTATTTTCTGTCATGAACTAGGATATGAGAGAAACCCTCACTGCAACATATGATGGTAATGCAAAGGAGAGCTGGAAGCCCAGTCCTAGGAGTTTGAAGAAAATAAAAGGGTGACAAGGAACCCTCAAAATCTGAGATGTGTTCCTAAGGGTTCACACAAGCAGAAAGGAAGCCTATGCCTAACTCCTCCCTTCCCTTCCAGTTTTATAATTGGCACCACTCTTTATTCACACATTCATTCATTTATTCATATACTTTTTTTTTTTTTTCCTGGTGAGGAAGATAAGCCCTGAGCTAACATCTGTTGCCAATCCTCCTCTTTTTTTGCTGAGGAAGATTGGCCCTGGGCTAACATCTGTGCCCACCTTCCTCTACTTTATATGTGGGATGCCTGCCACAGGATGGGTTGATAAGCAGTGCATAGGTCTGCACCCGGCATCCTAACCCACAAACGCCGGGCCACCGAAGCAGAATGTGCAAACTTTACCACCAGGCTGGCCCGTTTATTCATATGCTTTTTAATTAAAATATGTAGTTCTTACTCTATGCTGGGCACTGTGCTAGATATTTGAGATTAAAAATTTTAACTTTTAAAACTAAATTTTACGAAAGAGTGTGCTGAGAAAGACACAAAGAAGGCCAGTTGGCTAACCTTTAAACTAGACTATAAAAAGAAAATGTAACACTTTACAAAGCTCTTTCACATGTATTTTTTGTTTGTTTGTTTGTTTTTTATTGTTTTTTGTTTTTGGTAAGGAAGATTTGCCCTGAGCTAGCATCCATTGCCAATCTTCCTCTTTTTGCTGAGGAAGATTAGCCCTGAGCTAACATCTGTGCCCGTCTTCCTCTATTTTGTATATGGGATGCCACCACAGCATGGCTCAGTGAGCAGTGTGTAGGTCCTGCCCCCTGGGATCCAAACCCACGAACCCCAGGCCGCCAAAGTGGAACGTGCAAACTTAACCACTATGCCACCGGGCTGGCCCCTTTCACGTGTATTTTTGTATTTAATCCTTATAGCAATCCTTACTCATTTTTACAGATAATGAAGGTTAAGTAACTTTGGATAGTATTGTTTTTGACAAAAAATAAGATTTAACCATAAAATGATATAAAGTTTTTATTGCTTATAACTTGCCTCTGATTTTGATTCCTTTTGTATATAGCTCATAATGATTTATATATCAGTCTTCTTTGAGCACCACATAAAAAAGCATCATATAAAGAGATATCTGTCTCCATATTTTATAAAAGAATACTGTGAGAAAACCACTAAGAAGGCAATGACAAAACTCCAGAAGTGTATTTCTTACTCCTAATACCAAGGCAGCCATCTTAGTTTTCAGGTAGCCCCTGTGTGTTGTTACTTGTTAATGATAAGTGAAAGCTTCTGATAGGCGCTCTGAGAAATGTATATGGGACAGAAATTGAAGATACAAAGGAAATCAGCGATTAACTCAGCAGCGACTTAAATTTCTACTCTTAGATTTACTTTTTATTCCAGTTTTAAACATGTTCTCTTTAAGATTCTGTTCACTTGGTCTTTTTTTCCAGCCACACTGGAATGTATTAGGAGATTAGGCAGCTATGCAAGGTTAATAATCTGAAGCTTTTTTTTATTTGCAGTCTAGAATTTGGAGTATGATTCTCATGAAAACCAGAAAACATTTTTTCTTCACTAGAAAAGTGTCAGAGAGGAAATACTACTCAGATTAGGCAAATTTAATAAATAAAGCTGAAATTGGCGTTTCTCTTATGTATGCATAAAAAGTCACTTAATTTTTTTCATTTTATTTTAGTCACTGTATATATGCCTTGTTTCGTGGGTCCACGGGAAGCATGAGTCTGTTGGGACTTGGGACAAGAAGAAAACAAGACATCTTCACAAGGAATACCAGACAATAATAAAAAGTATCCCAGAGTCTGAAGAGATAGAACACAAACATGACCGACAGAGGACTTAGGGATCCTCCAGAGGGTAAGACTAGTTTGTACAGCACTGCCCTTTGTGCTGTAGAAAACTAGGGCTGTGCTAAGAGAGAAAACCTGTGATGACTAAAACCTGGAATTTGGATGTAAAAAAGAAGTTAATTTCATTGATTAATCTGTTATGATTATTCTTACTCTTTCATATTTACTGAATTTTACTACAATACCAGACCTTAATTATAAGGAAGATTAATGTTTTAAAGACTCCAATAATAGGAACCTATAGTATTGGAAAAATACATCTTAAAAAAATATGGTAGACAAATCCTTAGAGTTATATTTTTAAAAAATCAAGAAAACTGTGATGTGCTATATGTTTAGAGGGGATCTTTCAATTATAGGGAAAGATGAGATTTAAATTCTTCATCCTGCTTATATGTGTATGTAGGAGATATAAACAAAATGTGAAGTAGATTTTTCTGAAGAGAAGAAGGGCATATTTACTTAAATCTTTTATTAAGGATGTTTTTAAATATATAAAAGTAGAACAGTATAACGAACCCTCTTGTACTCAGCATCTGATTTCAACTATTACCTACATAATGCGGATCTTGTTGCCTGCCTTGGAATATTTAAGTGCAAATCCAAGACATTATATCATTTTACTTGTAAATAGTTTACACCTCTTAAAAATAGATTTTTTTAAAAAACATAACCAAAATAGCGTTATTACACCTAAAAAAGAAATTATCCCTTAATATCATCGCATATCCAGTCAGTAGTCACATTTCCCCAATTGCCTCATAATCTTTTTTTTTCTTCACAGTTGGGAGTTTTTTTTTCCTTTACATTTGGGCCAAATGCTCCATTTGATTGATATATCTTTTAGGTGGCTCTTTTTTTTAAGCTTTATTATAGGAAATTTCACACATATGTAAAAGTAGAGAGCAAGATGAAATGAATCCCATGTACCCATGAAACAGCTTCATCTGCTGTCAGCTATGGCTAATAGTTTCATCTATACTCCCTCACTTCTCCTTTCCCTCATAACATTTAATTGAAGCAAATTCTAGACGTCATGTAATTTTAGCCATAAGCACTCGAATACTTATCCCTAAAAAATGAGGATTCTTTTTTTAGTGTGTATGAGGAAGATTGGCCCTGAGCTAACACCTGTTGCCAATCTTCCTCTTTTTGCTTGGGGAAGAGTGGCCTTGAGGTAACAGCTGTGCCTGTCTTCCTCTATCTCGTATGTGGGTTGCTCCCACAGTGTGGCTTGATGAGTGGTGTAGGTCCGTGCCCAGGATCCAAACCTGTGAACCTGGGCCAAAGCGGAGCCCGTGAACTTAACCACTATGCCACCAGGCAGGCCCCAAGTATTCTTTTTTAAAAACATTATCACAATGCCTTTATCATACTTAAAAGATAAATAATAATTCCTTAGTATCATTAAATATCTGGTGTTCAAATTTCCCTGATTGTCTTATAAATATTTCTTTTAAAAATTGGTTTGTTCGACACTGGATCTAAATAGTGTGGTCCACATATTGCATTTGGTTGACATGTCTCTTAAGTCTCTCTTAATCAATAGGTCACCCTTCCTCCTTTTTCTTTTCTTGCTATTTATTTTTATTTCTTGCTGTTATCAGAGGAACAATCTTTTGTCCCTTGGAATTTCCCACATTCTGGGTTTTGCTGACTGCATTCCTGAGGCATAATTTAATATATTCCTCTATCCCTGTATTTCTTGGAAACTGGTAGTTAGCTCTCGGAGCTTGATCAGATTCAGGTTCGTTTGGCAAGAATACTCCATAGGTGGTATAGGTGTACTTTCTGTTGTGTTGAATCAGGAGGTTAATAATACCTGGTTTTCCCTCTTTTTGTAATGTCAAGATTGGTCACTGGGTTCAGCAGTTGTCAGTCTGGTTCAGCTGTTATAAGATTCTTCATCAGCCTTTTGCATAATAGTTTTAGTTGCTGTTGGTGATCATTGCATAGATCCATTATTTCATCAGAGAAGAGGATGTATTTAATATAACCAAAAGTTGGTTCCGTCATTCAAAAGAGTTTTACGTTAGTGTTACTTGTTAGATATATTAGCATGGTAATAAATTTGTTTATTCATTAGCATTCATGTTTTTTATTAACATGATGATAAATTTGTTAATAATGTTTAATGTAAGTCAAGAGAAGTAATGTTTAAGAAAATTGCCTTGTGAACCATAAAAATCTATATAAATATTAATTATTATTAATCAGGGACCGTGTTAAAATACAAAAATATAGGAAAATTTTTTTCAATAAAAATTATAAATTTTTATCTCAATAGACTCTCAAAAGGATTTGGAAAATGACCCATCAATAAATTCTCAGGCACAGGAGACCACAGTCACAACAAGTACCACTGAAGAAGCTCAGACCCCAAACCCTGCCTCTGGTCTTAACAAAGACCACCAAGAGGTGGAAACAGTAGGTCCAGGAAGTGCAGATACAGGTGATCAATCAGAAAGTCCAGATGAAACAAATGATGGGAAATATCCAAAGGATAAAACAGAACATGAGAACAACCAGAGATTTCAGGATGGAGAAGAAAGGCATCCCGTCCATTCAGAAAGTCTCGGTCGAGACCCCTTGGATCCAGAACCCGCCCGTTCTCCAGGTGACAAGGGAGGAAGAGAAGGTGCACACGTAGGGAGCAGCTCTGCAGCCCTCCCTGAGGAAGCGAGCGACAGACCCGGAGCTTCACAGGAGCCACCTGCTGTTGACCCTCAGGATGCCCAGAGTCCTGGTCATTCCAGTGCGCCGCTGGAGAGCCAGGAGACACTGAGGAGGCGACCGCAGGTGCCAGGTGAGAGAAGCCCCTGAACTTCTGTTGTGTTTTGTATTGCTGTGTTACTGAGAAGACAGCATGGGTCAGGGTCCTTCTTTTCAGAGAACTCCTCTTTCCTTCATAGGATTAAGGCCTTTGTGCCTTTCCCAGGGTCACATAAAGAAACACGACTGAGTTGAGATTAGAATGAGGTTTCTCATCTTCTAGACTAGCTCATTCCACTATATTAAGTTGCTTTCCACCACATAAACTGCATTTTTTAAACAGTGCTTTTATTTATTTACTGTTCATATTAATACAGACTGATAAAAAAGGCCATGACTTTTTAAAAATTCACCTCTGGCTTTTATTTCTTATGAGCAAATTTTCACTTAAATTTTTTTTTTAAATCATCTTCATTGAGGTATAATTAATATACATTAAATGACACATATTTAAGGTGAACAATCTGACATAGGTGTACTCTTATGCACTGAATTGCATAAGCCCTCGATTCATATGTTGAAGTCCTAACCTCCAGTACATCAGAATATGACTATATTTGGAGATAGGGTCTTTAAAGAGGTTCACTTAACAATTTTTTAAATCTTTTATTTTTGGGGAAACTAAATGCTACATAAATCAAGAGATGGGTATATTTAAAAACCAACATCAATGGTACAGTGCCCTTAACTCAGTCATATTTCAGTTTTATAGGACTTGGAGCAAATCCGTTAATTTCTGTCTACTTGATTTTCCCCGCTTGTCTATGAAGGAGGACAAGCATCATATCTTCCCTTATGAAGATAATAGTTGCATTGTGCTAAGTCCTTAACTGGGACTCAAGAGATGTGGATTTAAGAGTTGGCCCTTCCACTTGCTAAGGTCACTTGGGTGACCTCGGGCAAGTCTCTTAACTTCCTGCTACTGTACTTCAGTTTCCTATTTATAGAATGAAGAAGTTTCACAAGATGATATCCAGCTGGTCTTTTCCAGCTCTCACCTTCTGTAATTGTATGTGTGGATTTATATTTTATAAGTATTTTATAAGTACTCTAAAGAGCTCAGTCTGAAATGCCTATTTGCCAGTCCAAAGGAATAAAAAAAGACATTCTGTCCATTGGGGACTTGACTAAGGGCTAGAAATTCATGTTTCACTGTAAATCAATGACTGATCTCAAATATATGTTTTATTCATTAATCATTAGAATAGTCTGTAACTTCAGTGAAGACAAGGACTATATCTCTCTCATTCTTTGTGTTTCTTTGGCACCTGGCACAGAGAAGCAACTTTGTGAATAATTGTTGAGTGAATGAATGAATGTGATTTGTAAGGACCATTTTCTGCCATCAGAATTTCACCGGTATGCAGGTTCACTGAGTAGAGGAAGAAAACATTGTTTTAAAAATGCAGTTTATGTGTGGGAAGCAGCTTAATATAATGGAAAGAGCTAATCCAAGAGATGAGAAATCTTGTTCTCATCTCAACTTGGCCACATCTCTTTGTGTGACTTTGGGCAAAGCCCTTAATATCCCTGGACCTTTTGTCATGATAGGTAAGGTGGGAGGCCGGAGTAGGTGGTCATTAACGATCCTCAGTCATTAGATTCTGTGATGTGATATTTTTAAAACCTGCTTTTTGGTGTGATATGACTAAATGAACTATCCATTATAGGTAAAAATGATTCTACTTTATGTTAACCGAGTATGCTATTTGAGTTGTTTTTCCAGTAAGGGTTTTATGGGCAATACTCAGCTTTCACTCTTGTGAGGTACCTGGCTGGGGTCAAGCACACGTCTAGACTCTAGAGTGACTTAGCTGAGAGTTCTGCAAAATACTGTCCTCCTCTTCACCCACACGTTTTAGATTGGTGTCTCACCCCACACCTCCATTTTTGCACAGTTCATAAATTTCCTTAACCTTATATTTCTTGCTTTGCCTACCTCCTTCACTAAGAGGTTCAAACTTGCTTTTGTAAGCTACTTTGCAACTGTACAGTGATCTCTCCTGTCTCTAAACTTAGTGCCTCTGTTATTTGTATACCCGGGGGTCTTGAGGAGCCATGTGAGTCTTGAACACTGGAATTAAAGTGTCATTGTGTTGAGTCTGTGTACAGCTAACATTTCTTAAATCCCTTCTTAATTTTGTACATTTTGTTGAATCACATTTTAGATAGGTTTGGCTGCAATATTAGGATGCGTGTTTTTTTGTCTTTGACATAAGGACCAGTGAGGAATTGTGAATGTAGTGACAATATCCTTAAGTGAATTTCACAGCACTTCATTTTACTCTTCTAAGTAGAATAAAAGGAATAGTGAGCCTTAAGGAAAAGATAGGAAAAAAGTTAGGTTTGTATAAAAGAAAATTTTTCAAAGTATAGAAATCCTCTCAGTCAAATAATCCTTTGGTTTGGTAAGAAATATAAAGGTATATAGTACACACTTGCACTAATGTGCTGTCTAAAAATAATGTTCCTTTTTTTCTCCAGAGGCTGTAAGTCATCAACAAGAAACACAAAAATTGGGAGAAAACAAAGAGAATGCACAGCATACCTTAAGAAAGCCTAATAAAAAGGATTTTTGGACTTATGGTGAGAATAAAACTGGTCTTATTGCACTGTTGATTCACATTCAGAAATCCTCAGAGAAAATACCTGGAAAACTAGCAGATTTCAACAGTATTAACATATTTTTTTAAAAGTGTTTGATAGTAAGTAATAGTAAAATACAGCAGTAGAGCTTTAGAGATTTTTCCTTTGGGGTGCCGGCTGATATTTTGCCATCCTTAACAAAATGGGAATTCCCACAGGAGGAAGCGTTTTTCATAAACAAGAGACTAAAACTGGCTTTTCAATTAGAGTATTAACTTCTCAAGTGGCATTTTTACATTTTGACCCTTTAGAAAAAAACGGCCTGTTACAGGTATAGGTACTTTGAGAAGGTGGAAGAATATCCTGATAGTTCATTTCTAAATCACATCATTAGTTACAGCAACAAATACATAAACTTAGCTTTTACCTTTTAACAAAGATATTGTATCTTCAAGTAATTAAATCTAAGAAATTACAGAAAAGGTATTTCTGGTAGACTTTAATAGCAGAAAGTTTAAATGATTTAGGCTAAAGAAACCACAACTGGTAAAATCTGACAGTATCTCTACCTTGTTTCAGTTCACCACACAGGCTTTATTTCTGACTCACGTTCTCTCTAATTTTGTCTTTTGTTTTCTCATTCTCCGACAGGCTCTATCTTTTGTATCTTCCTAGTTGTGGCTCTTGTTTTGCTAAGTTCTATTACTAGCTACTATTTGTCTCCAGGCCAGCAAGTGTCTAAAAATCCAGCTTTGGAGGCCTTCTTGGTTCAGTTCAGCCAACTGAAGGATAAATTTCCAGGCCAGAGTTCCTTTTTGTGGCAGCGAGGACGTAAGTTTCTCCAGAAGCACCTCAATGCTTCAAATCCCACTGAGCCAGCCACCATCATATTTACAGCAGCTCGAGAGGGAAGAGAGACCCTGAAGTGCCTGAGCCATCATGTTGCGGATGCCTACACCTCTTCCCAGAAAGTCTCTGCCATTCAGATTGATGGGGCTGGAAGAACCTTTCAGGACAGTGACACAGTCAAGCTATTGGTTGACATGGAGCTGAGCTCTGGATTTGAAAATGGCCAGAAGGCTGCAGTGGTACACCGCTTTGAATCCCTTCCTGCGGGCTCCACCTTGATCTTCTATAAGTATTGTGACCATGAGAATGCTGCCTTTAAAGATGTGGCCCTGGTCCTGACCGTTCTACTAGAGGAGGAAACATTAGAAGCGAGTGTTGGCCCAAGGGAAACAGAAGAAAAAGTGAGAGATTTACTCTGGGCCAGGTTTACCAACTCGAACAGTCCCAAGTCCTTCAACCACATGGACTCAGACAAGTTGAGTGGGCTGTGGAGCCGTATTTCACACCTGGTGCTACCCGTGCAGCCAGTGAGGAACATAGAAGAACAGGGGTGTCTTTGATGAGCTAAGCACGGAGTTGGTTATGGAAGGCATGGGTTTATTAAAAAATTTAAAAGCCTTCCATTTATGTGGAAAGAGATTGATGAATGTGAGGAAAGCACAAATGAGCTTATTTTAGAAAATAATTTTTCATTTTTTACTTTTTGTAAAATCTTTCTAATCTAAGCTTGACAAAGCTAAAAAATTTGACCAGATTTTTTTCCCTTGCCTGTCAAGGAAATCAGGTTTGAAATATACCATGGTATATGTAACTGAGGAATTTTTTTTAATGCAAAAATATAGCAACAGAATCATTGCACAGGAAGAGACTCTTCTCAGAGTAGCTACAGAGTGATTTTTGTTTTCTTGAGACTCTGAAGAGCCTTTTGGATAGTGTGTGGACTTGGACTAAAGCAATTACAGTTATGAAGCAATGATAATTTTTAGAAAATTTTTCTATTACATGTTAAATATTTTAATAACCTATTGTGAGATTACATCTTATACTAATTTGCACTTTTGAATAGTATGAAAAAAAAAGAAACAAATTCAAATACTTATCTAAAAACTATATGTAAGGCACTGCTTTTATTCCGTTAAGGAGCTGAGGTAAAAGCAGGTGTACTCAAGAAGTGTTATTAAAAATTGGAAACAATGGGGAAATTGTTTATAATCATTGGAAATGAAGAAATTCCAATTGCCTATATCTTTACTTCAGCTTTCTTGAATGATTTAGAGCAGTGATTTTTAGGGTGTGTCTGCTGGCACCCCTCTACTTTGTATCAGAGCAGTTCTACTTTGACTTTTTTATATGTTGGGATTCTCTATAAGATTTAATGGGAGCAAAGAGTTCCACTGATAATGAAGTTTGAAAACCACCAATTAAGTGAAAAGACATCTTAGAAGATAGGAAATGGGTAGAAAAAAATGAATGTATTATAACTCATGAGTAGGAAGAGAATGAAATATAGGCTTATTGTATAGACATGCTATTTATGAAAGATAAAGACCTACAGATGAACAGCAGAATGTGTAAACTCGTATTTATGTATATTTCTGACGCTTTTGTTAATTTCTGTTAATCATCGTTTCTGTCTCCCCTGGATGGAGTTTTATGATAGCCTAGGATGAGAGTTTTCAAGTGACCTTTAAGCAGAAGAGATTCTAATAACCAGTTAAGTACTAGATTCTATATGGACACATTGGCATAACTTGACCAAACTGTTTACTTGTTATGCAGCGATGGAACATTATGTAAGGTAGCTTATTTCTTGACTAGCTAGTTAGACGTACTGTTAGGTTAACAATTAGAGAAATGTAAGAGATGTTACACTTAGAGGAAGTAGAAATGTTGGATAGATTCTCAGAGGTTTTAATGGCCAATATTAATTGTTGGACCATGTTGTGATTGTAAGAAAGATTGAGAGCAGTGTTTATGGAGATAGTAGTTGTTTATTTGCATTTTAGTTCTGAAAGCAGAACTCTAGTAAAATGATCTTGATCTAACGAAGGGTCTGTTCCTTTACATGATATACCTAGGAACTATTGCCATGATCCTGGAATACTTCCACTAGGTTTTGGCCTCTCTGCTGCTGTGAGAGTAGAGTATGTGTGTGTGTATATGTTTATATATTTTTAAGAAGTCACATGATTAAAGTATGGGAGGATTTTCAGAAACACTAAGAAGATAGAGGGATTTTTATTAATACCTCAGAAGGAATCACAAAGACATGGGGGAAGAATCTATTTGAAAATATCTGTCACAGGAAGAATACATAAATCTGTTCTAAGGCCTTTCGTTGTGCTCAGTTGGGTGTAGGGGCATACCCAAAGGAACTGTTTTCATTTGGGACTCTGTGAAGGAATGTTCCAATAGATTTGAGGAAAGACCTGCCTGAACAAAAAGTTAAATCACAGTGAATATAATATCAGCATCAATCCAATATAAAGTCAGAGAAAATTGAAGAAAAATCTATATACCATATTCAAATTTTTTTGTGTTTCTAGATCTCAGATGCTAGCATTACATCACACAAAACCAATGGTGCCTTGTAGAACTGTTCCGTTGGCCTGCTAATCTCTGCTACCTCAGATCAATAAAGAACTAGTATGAAGTGTGCACATCTGATCTGTGTCAGCGACTCAGCACAGTTGAAACAAATATTCTTGTTATTCATTCAGTTGAAGGTGGTTTTTCATCATTTCCTTTCAATATAATTTAGAAAAATTTCAAAAAGTCGCAATTTTTTTTATTGTTTAGCCTTTGTTAAAACACTTTTCCTTGTTAAAACACTTTTCCTTCCATGTCTAAGTGCAGTCAGTGGAAACTGTTGTCAGTTTTCTGTCCAGTATTTCAAAAATCATTTTAAAAAGAAGCAGTATATTAGCTCTGGGTCTTATGAATAAAATGATAATTTTAAAGCATAAAACTATGTATTTTTTAAATGTACAAATAATTAAAATCTGTTATCTAATGTACTCTTAGGTTAATTTCTATTGAGTTTCTATTTTTTTACATTTTTCAAGTTTCCAAATTTTGTGTATCCAGTAGTTCACCTTTCATTACTGTAATAGATAATTTGCTTATTTGACTTAAAGCAATGACTTGTGTGCATGTGATACCATACGTGATACCCAATCACCATGTAATTATTATTGCAGAACAACTCTCATTACATTATATATTAATATAAATCATTTCTTGAGTAGTACCAGAGTTCTGGAAGCAGCTGGTGGAATCAGAAACTGTCTCTGGACTTGAGTTTTTTCCCCTGTAGGTTAAATTTTAGGTTTTCCAGTTAGTTGCCAAGGCAGAGAAGTTTAGGGGATTTACGTGACTAATGCTATTGTTTCTATTTCTGTTTTTTAAATCAATAAAATAATGTAAATATACTTCATCTGGAAGCCACCATGCTTACGGTGATGAATAAGGCGCAGTGTGCCTGTGATCCACCCTCCTCCAGCTAATGACCCAGCTGAACAGTGCTAGCTGCTGAAGTGGTTTTGACCCTTTGACAGTTTTTAATTGTTTGATTTACAGTTTTATCTGTTAAGGACAGGAAGCATAATGAGCATTGATGTTAAAATATAACAAACATATTAAATATGGCATGTGAAAGTGATAATAATTCAGCAAGATGATCCTCACCAGGACCGTATTTGCATGTATCTGACCAAAATTTTTATGCAGCATATACAGGTGTCTGGTACTTCAAAAACTAATGTTAAATAGAAAATATAAAATATATCCAATTAGGTTACTGTTTAATGGGAATAAAACTTATGTCCATACACAGTTTATCTGTAGAGAAGTACTTTCAAATAGCAACATGAAACCTTTTTCTTTTACCATTTGAAAATAAAACATAACAATTGTAAAAATAACCTGGTACATCTTTGTAAAGCCCTCAGTATATCATTTTATAAAAGTAGTTTTCAATCTGTTTTTCAAGTTGAATATGTAGTTAAATGTCAATCTTCATTTTAATATTTTGTTCACCAATCTGAGCATAATATATTTTATTTTAAAATTTGTTTAAAAGTCATATTGGTTTTGTTTTTTTCAAAATTAAAGTACCTTGACCACTGTGTAGCACTTGTTCAGTAGGAATGTTGTTTGTCTTTATATATGTATTGTGAATATTATTAATGATTACAAATCACTTTATCACAATTTGTGGAAATATGATGAAATGAGTATTTTAAAATTTGTCTAAGGGTATCTATGAGATTTACTGAGGTTTATGAGTCATGTAGGAAATACTTATTGTGAATAGTAATATATTTGCAAAGAAGATGTTATCAGTTCTAGAGAGAACTAAATGAAGTTAAGATACCCATGTAAAACAGTTTCTCCAGATAGCTTTAAAATATGCCTTATTCCTATTTATGTTCAGGTTTAGGTGTTAGGTTGTGAAGTACCTGATAATGTGGGCCTAAATTTGCCTCATTCGGACTGAGACTTGGCGATTAAAACTCATTTCCAACTAATATACTGCCCTATTACTTCTGTATTTATACTCGTCGCTTCTCAACCTGTTTTAAAATATGTATATATATAATATATATAAACTAGTGAAGAGCACTAGCCTTATCCAAATGGCCTAAGAACACAGTATCCCCTAATCTGTAAATAATCTGTAAAAATATAAATAATTTAGTCTTCAATGCCTTTCCTTCCAGTATAACCTGCAGTGTCTATTTCAGCTTGTTTTGATGTCTTTAAAAATCTATAGATTGATTCCTGTATTGGGAAGTGATCTCCCACTTTTCCTCCTTGAGGCTCATAAACTGAATTTGCCCTTGGCTAAGAGCACTTACCTGAACCAAAAAGAACATTTCATACTTGGGAAGCAGTGGGCTGAGTAACACTGCGGTCGTGTAGCGCTGGCGGGAGGAGGTTATGCTTGCCACCACTGGCCCACAGCAGTCACAACCTTCCTTCTCCCTGGACCCAAAGCGGGCCTCCACATCATCAACACAGAGCTCCAGGCAACTGCTCAAGAGTTGATCAGATTACAAGAGATCTAAATCTATCATAAAAGAAAGAAGCAGCACGTTGACTTTTACACCCAACTGCATTTTGCTTTTTTTCTGCTTAACAAAAAAGAAATGGGCTTTGCCAGTATTGATGTCAAATTTCTTGGCATTCCCCTTTTTTCCTTATGTGGCCATGATTGCTTTTACATTTCTTATGAATGTTGAAGAATGTGCCTTATTCAAATTAGTTGTCTGGTTATTACCAAAAATAAATCATCTTAATTTTTCTCAGTTGACTGATTCTTGATTAAAGTTCTGAAATAGCAAATTTATAGAAATGGGCATGTGGTCATTAATGGTGGGAAAGGAAACTGCCATTGGTTGCCAATAAGTTCAAGAGCCAAAGAATCCCCTGAGGGTGAGGTGGCACTCGTGGCCGTCTGTGAAGTGAACCAGTGTCGACGCTGTGCCTGGAATCTACTGCAGTGCTCCTTTAGCATTCTTCTTGTGCTATTCCTACTTAAGGAGGCTTTTTTTTTGTATATAAATGTTCATAGCAGCAGTATTTTTTTTTTAATTGATGTCTTAGTTTATAACATTGTGAAATTTTGGTTGTACGTTATTGTTTGTCAATCACCATATAAATGCCTCCCTTCACCCCTTGTGCCCACCCCCTAACCCCATTGCCCCTGGTAACCACTATAAAGTTTTCTCTGTCCATGTGTTGGTTTATATTCCACATATGCGTGAGATCATGAACGGTGTTTGTCTTTCTCTGTGGCTTATTTCGCTTGACATAATACCCTCCAGGTCCATCCATGTTGTTGCAAATGGGACGATTTTGTCTTTTTTTTATGGCTGAGTAGTATTCCATTGTATGTATATACAACATCTTCTTCATCCAATCATCAGTCGAGGGACACTTGGGTTGCTTCCACTTCTTGGCTATGGTGAATAATGCTGCAATGAACATAGGGGTGCATAAGCCTCTTTGGATTGTTGCTTTCAGGTTCGTTGGATAGATCCCCACTAGTGGGATAGCTGGATTATAGGGTATTTCTATTTTTAATTTTTTGAAGACTCGCCATACTGTTTATGAAGAGGCTGTACCAGTTTGCATTCCCACCAGCTGTGTATGAGGGTTCTAAGGAGGCTTTTTGTTTTTTTTTTAATTTTATTTATTTTCTTTTCCCCCAAAGTCCCAGTAGATAGTTGTATGTCATAGCTGCACATCCTTCTAGTTGCTGTATGTGGGACGCGGCCTCAGCATGGCCGGAGAAGTGGTGCGTCGGTGTGCGCCAGGGATCCGAACCCCGGGCCGCCAGCAGCGGAGCGTGCGCCCTTAACCGCTAAGCCACGGGGCCGGCCCTAAGGAGGCTTTCTGAGTAGGAGAGAGAGAGGGGTTATAAGTAGAGCCCTGGGAATTGCTCCTAACCTGGGGTGTGCTGATTGGGAATGTTTTTCTTAAGTGTGGACATCATTCAGTTGTGTGTTGGGAATGGGAGAGGCCAGAGTGTGTTAAGAATTTCTACCTTATAATGTTGTCAAACCAGAATTAGTAGAAGCACCTGAATACCATCTCGGCCCCTCACCCACCCTTCTCCCAGCTTTCTGCCCCAACTATTCTATACCCAACTAAAAACAACAGATCTATTGAAATATTTTATAGAATAGTTTTCCATCAAATCTGAATTCAATTTTGAAACCCCAAAAGACTTACTCTTGCATTTTAGAAAAATAGGCACTCTCAGGAGTCAGCATATCTTAAAATATGCATTTTCAGTGAAATAGGCTAAAGTCAAAGGATAAGATGAGCCTGAAGGGAAAGAACATAGGATTTCCCAATATTTATTCCAAACATCCACAGAAGGTTTGCAGCAACGTGATTTTTTTAATACATAAACTCACCACTAGAGGATGTCACATACTTCTCCAAATACATTGAAACACACTAATGGCTTGATACTGTGAAAACTGATTAATAAGGGAGAGAGGTGCTATGAATTAGTTACTGTAGGAGTTGTAATTTAAACAGGGTACAATAAAAACGACGTCAAGTCTGAAGTTGCAATCTGAGTCGTGGAATGTTTGATACAGAAGCTGACAAAGATTCTTTGCTTGACCAAACTTTAGGCTCCTAAACCTTCTCCAAGGCCCATCTGTGCCCTTCCTTGTAAAACCCAGTTTTAGAAAGAACCCTGCTAAGTCACCTTAACCAGAACCAGCACCCTTGATATCTGATCAGGGCCCTCATCCTCCAGCATCCCTCAGGTGATGTCTGATCCCCTGGCCTGCCTTCAGCAAGAATCCTGTTAGGTCAGTTTAGCCAGAACTGTATTTATCCCTGATGTTTCCTCTTAGTAGTTTTCCTTCCCCTGAGCACCACCCTGATCCTTGGCTATAAATTCCCAGTTGCCCATGCTGTATTTGGAGTTGAGCCCAATCACTTGCCCCCACTGTAAAATCCCGTTGCAGTGGTCTCTACACCTATCACGAGGGTCCTGGATAAAGTCTGCCTTACCATCTTTAATGAGGGTCATTGAATATTTTTTTCTTTAACAAAGCAGCTTCATCAAGCTAAACTAAGAAAGGATCTTAGCTACTGAGTGAAGAGCTTAGCTACTTTAAGAAAAGGAAACAGAGTAGGCAGATCCCGTTTTGTGTATACACAGGGCATGCTTTACTGAGGATTCCACCCACATGGTGTATGATTTTAGGGCCTGCAGAAAACCCCCATATACACACACACTAAAAATGAGACACGTCAACTTTTTTGACCTGTAGCCTGATAATTTCTAGGGTCTCTAATTTTCTAATATACAAATCAATATTTAAGATGAACCAACCATTAAGTAATGCCTTTTATTATCATATTACCTGAGATGCCATTTTAAGTTCTCATTTTGAGTTGGCATCCCTCTGTAACTCCAAACACATAACAATAATAGATAAAATATTTCAAGAGAAATGTAAAAAGACAGAGCCAGGCTCAAAAACAAGAGATGCATCTTCAAGGATCAGAAACAGAATAGAAACAAAGTGGTGAGTGGGGCTGAAGCCACAGGCCTATTGGACCCTACATCCAGTCAGGCAGAGGCTGCTGGGCACCTGGAACTAAGAGGACTCTACGTGAGGCATACGGGTCTGGTTATGTAAGCAAGATGGCTTGTTGGCAAGCCCTGCAATATTGGTATTGTTGTCTGCAAATATTCGGTAACTCTTGTTTCAAGCAGCCTTTTAAAAAACATCTTGTTTGAATGCTTCATATACGTATGCTACAAGTCAGTTTCATAATTTCTTATATGTCATGTAGTTTGTCTTTGGCTGAAGAAGATTAATTTGAATGTGCTCCACTATGTTTCTGCTTATAGCCAGTAATTCTGTTACATGATATGGGGCTCTATTACTCACCAAACACATTACTGAGCCATGGGAAGAAACATCGTGTGCTCCTGGTTACTAAGTCGCCATGTTGGTTCTATTGTCAATGACAATTGCATCACAGTTTTCCATTCTCTGTATATTTCTTCAATCAGATTTTTACCATATTGCTTCCTGAGTGAGATCCAGAAGTTTCTCAGAAAGCAGGAAAAGCAGAAGCATGGATGAATTCATCATTAATCCACCATGCTGTCAAAACCTCTACTGGTTGTTTTCACGTGACCAAATAGTCCTTTTGCACATAATACTGAATATTATTTATAATAATATAGAGCATTTATATGGCACTTTTCTTCATACTCTGTATTCTTTATTATATCTGATACATAGATGTTCTTATACATAATTTTGGAATTATTTACTGCCCATGAAATTTTGAGGTGGCAAAGTTTTGACATCCTATTTTGTGTGTGT